TTTAAAAAAAAAACATAAAATAAAAAAACTAAAAAAAAACCTAATAAAAAAAGCACCTGTAATTTTTGTTTTTGATTTTGCCTAATTTTAAATTATCACCAAACAGCCCAGTAAAGCCCAAAAACACAGCACAAAAAAGCCCAAAACCCCCTTTCCCAAAAAAAATTCTCACCCCCTTTAAATGCAAAAGAAAAAAAAAAACCCCCTCCCCCCCCCCCCCCCCCAAAAAAAAAAAAAAAAAAAACACTTTGAGTCAGAAAACTCTCAAAATTGCTTGATTGATGGTGTTAAATGTGGTTGGCAGGCCTTTGTGCGGCACCCTCTCTCGTTTTTCAGCCAAGTCAATTCACATTTCTTGAGCATTGCTCACAGACATCCAGGATAAGACAGACCACTGCACTAAAGAATGAAATATACGAATAGGCAAAGGAAACTAAGTAAGGTATACAAATTTGTTGATATGCACAGTTACCAAAGTAGCCGAAGAAAGCCAAAAAACGTGTGAGAATTCAGAGTATAAGGAGTCGACTTTTAACTGATGACAAGTTCTTGGAAGGTACTTTAGCTCATCAAACAGTAGAATCACCATTACGTTCCTAGATTATTCCTCTAATTGCCACACAGTCGTCACAGGCTTGGTTTACCGTTTACGAAAACGTTTTCGGAAATTCAGGTGGAAAATAAAAGGAACTCTTTTCGGGCCGTCCCAGTAGAAAATGTCCAGGAGGAACAAAACTTGTAAAAAGGTGCAGCCTGAGTTGCAAAACTGTTTGAGACACTCCCTCGAAAAAATTACCTTTCTTCCTTCAAATCGCTCCTGGTCACAGGTCTGTGATATATGATACTGACCTCCTTCCTCCCTCCCATTCAAAGTTGCTCCTCCAAGTTTTGAGCATGGTTTTTTATTGCTAGCAACTTTGATAAGGGGTGAAGAGGGATTACAAGCACAAGATTATGGGCAGCCCATTTATGCCAAAGTACGGTACAGTGTCTCAAGTACTTTGCAACTGGTTGTAGCTCTAGTTTTCCTTAAGGAAATGTACCAAGAAACCGACATTCTTGTTCCACTCATTTTTGATACCAAGTTCAAGATTTTGCAGCTGTTTAATTTTTCGGTATTCTCGAAAGAAATTTGCTAGCGTCAAATTTTGTACCATTCCTCCAAACGGTGAACCGACCGGTTTGCCCTGCGCTAGTAAATGGTAATCAACCAGCATATGCATGTTTTTGAGTTATCCGTTTTCGTTTACAACAAGTAGCCAAATTGTCACCAGAGTTTCCAACCTTTATGATTGCAGACTCGTAATCTATTGGATATCAATGAAAAGCGAGTATTTTATTTTTTTAAATTGTTATTTTACAGTTTAAACTGTTAAAAACTACCACGAACATATTTTCCATACAATCATTAGAAAAGGTGCTTGAAATAAGAATTGGCTAAATGTACTCCCTGAAACTAACTACAGCCACAACACGTCAGTCTATAATAAATGTCGCGAGACCCAGACTTTTTTCCTTGCTTCTTTTGCAGTGTGGAGAAAAAATGAGTGTTTGAAAAGCAGGGAATTAGAAATTGATTGTAGCGGAATTCGGTTCAGGCTTCAGTGAATGTCAGTAACTTTTGAAATGTTACCCCTTAGATTTTAATACAAGTGTTCTTATAATATGAATTTGCACCTACATGTATACAGGCTCTAGTTGTTTAAAAGTTGGATAGCGCCATCATCCAGATAGATTACCATCCAGTGGATATGTGTTAGGGAACACAGTAGTGTCATCTATGGCCAGTGGATAGTGATTTACCCGGTGAATAGCGTTATCCACCTTCTGAACAACTGGGCCAGGTTGTAGAAAAAAATTGGCAAATTAAGAAAGAAATAAGAGAAACTCAAACGTTGCTCTCGGCTTCAGGTGAGCACTCAAGCCTCTGCCATTCTCGCAACGATTCTCTTGCGGTAGTCCCAGTTCCAGTATGAAGTACAATGCTTCGATAGGTTTGACTCTGTCGTTGTAGAGTCCCTCGAAGGTTACTCCTTAGTTTGGACGAGCTTGTAAAAGACATGCGCATCGAGAATAACCTCTTGTGACCGCTACTCTCATCTCCATCTTGAGAGCCTTTCATGAAGTCTCTGCAGTTCGTACAGCGAGTTTGAAGAGTCCCGAATATAAAAGGGTTGATACAGCTGTTAGCGTATACCAAAATGTTTGTAAAAACTAAGAAATCCGTGAAGTATTTTGAGCTCCCCCCATCACCATAATCATTCCACAGCCACATTATGTGGTTTGGCAACATGCACACTGCAAATACGATGACAGCTGTGACGAAAATTTTAACTATGCGAACATTACGGTGAGCACGCGTCTTAAGCATCTGTTTTCCCGTAAGACCACCTTCAGAATCAGCCATGATGACTTTCATGTTGTTAATATCCCTGTAAAGCTTTCTTCCAATTCTGACATAGGCCACGCTGATGCCAAATAGGGGGCAAACGTAGAGCACAATAAAAACGGACATGGTGTAGGCTTTGACAAAAGATGCACCCGGCCAATTTTCAGTGCACATTGATCCATCAAAGCCCAGTACATAAATATAGGGAGAAACGAGGACGCTGCTTCCAATCCAGATGATAAAGATCGTAACTAAAGGCTTTCTCCCCTTCATCCGGGGCTTTAAAGGGTACATTATTGCTCGATGACGTTCAAGGCTCATAGCCAGAAGCGTCGCCACGGAAACGGCCATGAGAATAGTCTGAAGCGGGTAGACTAACTTACACAGAAACGCGCCAAACGGCCAAAAACCTGCAAGACGCTCTATAATGTCGAGTGGAATGCTGATGATACTGGTTGATAAGTCAGTGATTGCCAAGTTGAGAATGAAATATTCACTTGTCTTTCTTTTCTTTCGACTGAGGATTGCCAGGCAGATCAAGGCGTTACCAACGGAACCNAACGGCCAAAAACCTGCAAGACGCTCTATAATGTCGAGTGGAATGCTGATGATACTGGTTGATAAGTCAGTGATTGCCAAGTTGAGAATGAAATATTCACTTGTCTTTCTTTTCTTTCGACTGAGGATTGCAAGGCAGATCAAGGCGTTACCAACGGAACCGACTACTATTATGACGGAGTAGAAAAAAAGTTGAAGGATCATCAAAACTTGTGCTGACCTCAAGTCTAACGTTTCTGTCATGTTCTGGGAAAAAAGCTCTGGGTCTGACCTGTTCGCCATGATGCTAATTGATATAATATATATTTTTTCGATTGTTGTGCTGGGAAATATTCCTGTGGAAGCCCTCTTTTCACTAAGAGCAAACGTCTTTTCTAACAAGTCTTTCCCTAGCGCTTGCGAGACGAAATCCAGTCGTTGTTAGTATTTTGTGTCGTCCTGCAAGTATTCTGAAAAGAGAAGATACAAATAAAATCTTTAAATTCACAGCTTTTAACGAGCTTTTTAAATTCCATCCATCTCTTATTCTAAGTTATGACAAGAAAATGAGACAAAGCAACTTCAGTATAACTAAGGAAATGGCTCCTGTTATATAGAACTTTTTAAATTATATTTTGTCCTTTTTGATAAATGGAATCCTGTTTGCGATATGCGTCAGATCCGCTTTAGTATAGGATAAAAATGACGTCAAAACGTGGTTGTAACAAAATGTTGCCATTGACTCAGGCAGTCGTTACAGCCTAACCAAGAGTTTCTGTGATTTTCAAATGAGCAATAATTTTATTACACCTGAAAAGGCAATCCAAGTTATTTTGCTTCGGTTTTCGTTACCAGGAAAAAGAAACGTAGCGTGGAAGCTATTTAGGACTACTGCTCGTTTTGATTGATTTTAGCCATTTATTTATTCATTCACTTATTTATTTATTTTTCTGTCAAAAGCTGATCTGCTTATAGCTTTTTTCCCTTTTAATCTGAAACAGTCTCTCCCACGTTTTTAAGAATATATACGCAAATTATTCTCCATGACGTTAATGGTGCGTCTGAGCTCTTATATGGTTAATTATTCAAGGTTTAATTAAATTCGCAA